GTCAAATTTCATTTTCCGAGTATGCTATACTTGCATATTGGTCAATGATTTAATGAGCTACGAAATATTCTCTACTGATATAACCATGGCCAGAATGGGACAGAATGGTACATTTTGGCTGTGGTTTGCAACGCTGAATGAGATGCAGAATCTCTGGTTATACTTCAAAATTAGAACAACTCATTTCCAAGTCCCACGGTGAGATTCGAACTTGAGATAACTCGACAAGGCACTATTGTGTTTTTTCCAATCCCCTTTAGAACTGTCATTGCTTACAATGTAGAGGGAAAAAAATAGATGTAAAGGTCAAGGTCACTTTAAGATTTACACTTTGGTTGTCCAACCAATATATATGAAAAAATCCTCAAATGACCTTTAGTAATCATGGGGTCAAGAGGCTGCAATTTAATACATGTATACTGTAAACCAACTTTTATTTGTGACGACCTTATTTTACGATTTATCAGGGAGTTAACTAGTTGCTACTAGTAATTTTCATGATCAAGCCTTTTTGAATCTGATGGTAATAAACACAGAGACTTTAAGTACCAGTTTGCGGCGGGAAATATTCCCGATGAGGAACCTTGCGAAAATTTCTCACACACAAATAAAAGTTGGTTTACAGTATCAAGTTTTCAGTCACTGACTGTCCATTTCTTCAGCAACAGATCCTGAGCTCTACAGTGATGGACGAGTAGTACTGCATGTATGTAAATATAACATGTCAAATTGAAATTATTTAAATATTGCTTTTGATGTCTAATTTAAAGAAAAAGCCATGCAAAATTATCTTTATCAATTGTAGGGCAAATTACAGGTAAACTGACAATTTTTTTTTTTGATAATTAAGGTCTTCCGTCTTCACGGAAGACCTTATAGTTATTGCTCTGTTTCTTATTATTATTATTATTATTATTTTTCTGACACGATTTCTCGACAACTACTGGATAGAATTACATGAAATTTTCAGGAAAGATGTGTTGTAAGTTACTCTTGAAAGTTCCAAGACAGTTTTTGGAAATTCCTCTCTGGTGCCAAGTTTTGGACCATTTTCCTGATTTTAAAATGACTTTTTGTCCACGATTAAACTCAAAAACGGTAAAAGATATCAATGTGAAACTTTCAGAGTTTATAGATGATGATCAATACTTTCCAGGACACAACTTTTCGTTCGTCGTCAGTACTTCCTGTCGCTACCGGAAGCCAATTCAAAAAGTCCAAATTTTCAACTTTCTTTGTTTTTCAATATTTTTCATTTATTTTTGGAATATTAATAGAGACATTTCTATTGATGCTTACTATATAAGTTGTTTTAATATTGGTTAATCTGAACTCTAGATATTAATATTTGAAAATCTGAAGCGGGCCCAAGATGGCGGCTGTCTCTGTCAACTCCGACATTTCGCGAGTAGGGGCTTATGGAGGCAGCTGAGCGTTTGATTAAACCATTCTGACATAAGGATACATGAAATGCAAAAAGCTACTTGGACTCTCACGTAGTAGTACGTTGCAATTCAGTGTCAATCTTAAAAAACTTAATTTACGTTTCACTGCTTTAGTGTTACTGGGCTAGATACGATATGTAATGTGTACAATGTGTTAAATATACTTTCCTAACGCCGAAATAAAATAAAGGTGATAAGAATGTTTTATTTAATTAATTTCATTGAAGCTATTGCACCTCTTTAATAGATCAGTACAAAGAAAAAGTGCGAATATTTACGCTTAAAGCAGTATTCCCAATAGCTAAATGGTTCGCGCGTTGGGGAGAAAAGAGAAACAAAAGGCGCATTCACGTTGGCGACCTGGATTCACTCCTTCTTGTGATCAAAAGTTTGAATCACTTTTTTGTTCGATTTTACAAGTTTTTTTATCTGAATCGGACGGAAGACCTCTCGTTGCTCGCAACGAGATCGTATCTAGTTATATTTCTTTTTAATTTCTTTTTTCAACTTTCATGATGGTGTTTCATATGTAAAGTGTCAACTTGGATCCAAATGGTATTTTGAGGTAGGTGTATGTAAATTATTCCCAAATTTTCTCTCTTAAAAGCCACATGATTGAGGCATATTCTTTTCTTCTCTGATCTCAAGTTTATGTCCAAGCATTATTTATCATTTTTTTTTACATTTAATACATATGAAAAAGATCATTTGAAGGCACATTTTTGTTGAAATATTAGTCAATTGTTGAAATAAGAGTAATTTCATGTAGTGTATGATGAAATGAATTGTGTATGTTGGAAATATATCTGTTTAAGAACTTCAGTTGTACCCCTTTGCCACACAGCATAAGCAACAGGGCTACAGGACTGCATTCTCACCGCACACTGAAAAAGAATAGCGCCTTATAAGATTTTTATTTTAAACAAAACGCCTAATGCTTTTAATTAACGTTTCTGGTGTTTGCAGAGATATGAAAAAATATAAATTCGTTTCAAGCGTTTACAATATCCAAATATTTTGAAGGATTATAAAAAGAACTTTTTTGAGAATTCGGAAATGTGAATTATATGATTTACTGACTGTACTATTATAGACAGATGTTTTTTCACGGCAACCGAGGGGGTGGTAGGGGCAAATAAACCATTAGATTAAGCTTAATTTACATAGGCGTCTGAGTCCCCCCCTCCCACCCCCCTCCCCACACACAATTTTTGTGCAAAGATAATTAGACATAAACCAATTTTTCTGAAAGATAGACTTAATATTGGCGCATAGCTTAACCCCCCCCCCCCAACTTTCAACGTTGCAGTATAGGTCAAAGAAGGATATGTGTATGGGGGGTTCGAAAGAAATTCGAAATTTTGGTTTTAAAATTTGATTATTTTTGTACATGTATATAGAACGCTTGACCTAAAGGAGATAAATATAGGCTAAAATGGAAAATGACCACAACTACCCAGTCACCTTAAAAGACGTTTAATGTAAATAATGCTGTCTGTCGAAAAAAATAGTATTTTTATTATTTATTTTTAGACAGTGCGAAGTACTCAGAAATAGCTCAATATTGATAAGTTCCAAACTTTTTTGTAAAGCGTAAACGGTTTAAATATATCTAAACATGGGTTTACTTCAAACATGGGGTAGCAGAATTTTTCAAACACTTTTTCTTAATCATTTCAGAAGAGAGTGGATGTTCAGTATCCAGACCCGGAAGTTGCCTCACGTATTTACGGGAGGCTGGGAGTGGACATCTTGACCACGCCCACCACTTCCGGGAGAGATGTGGAGGTCTCAGTTTTGTTATATATAATATTGATGTGGAAAAGTAAGTTCAAAATATGAAATTCATTTCCCTCTTTTTCTTCTCTAAATTCTTCATATATCTTTTTTGCTGAAGCCTTCATATATCTTTTTTGCTGAAGCCTTTCGATCCAATCTATTTCTTTTCAATTATTCTATATAATTATAAGCAAAATATTGTCTTTCCTTAATTACACTTGTGCATTTAATGTGGACCCCCACTCTTTTGTTATACATGCATATAAGCATAATATTTTATATAACAGGTTGAGCCACCAAGAAAGCGTTACATTCAAGCTACCAATCAAGCAGTGTTTCACAACACAGGAACCACTCGTACAACTGGCAGGGTAGTGACAAATGGAGTAAGTTATGTAATGGCATATTCTTTTTTTTCTATAACATTGATATGTTATTATCAACTTTTTAACTGATTGGTAATATGAAAAATGATCACTTCAAATGGATCTATTGTAATAATCCTGATTTCCAACTACTAACTAAATCAAATCTTCATCATTTTTATAGCCTTAATTTATATATGGCTACATTACAGTAATGAAGAAAATTATTGATAAGATTAAAAGTACATATTCATGTATACATAAATATCTGCATTCCTTCTAGGTTGCAAGACCTCTGCTGAACAATGAACAAATGCAACAATTTATAAACACCACTGTTCTTCCTAATGGTCGCTCAGTCACCAGCACTGAGCCAGTGAACCGTAATGTCACCAGCTGTACTGTGTATCCTTCTCTACCCAGGACAAGGGTACAACTACAGGTATGTAAAGCAATGTGTGTTTAACTTCTCTTAATGAACTTTTTTAAGTTAATTGAATGCCAATCAAATGAATTGTATAGAAATGACTTGTCCATCAATTAATCTGTCCATCTATTTTTTCAAAGCTAAATTAAAAAAAATGTTCATTTCATTTCCAATAGCATGCCGCCCTAAAAGCAATTGGGGGAGGTAGGAAGATGCATATTGATAAAAAACTTTTTATTTTGAAGAATCAGTAATATAGAGATGAGATTTTTTTCTTCTGTAGACTGAACCTGCAAATGTGAAACCAGAATTGACATTGAATGAGCTGAGATCTGGACAGACCCTACTACCATGGGTGTCCATCCAGCAGCAAACTCAGGAGACCATACTGCAAAGACAAACAGAATACAGTGTACAACAAATAGCCACAAACTGCCAGGGACACATTCATCCCTCAGCTCAAAATGCTCTTGCTGTTCATTTCCTTAACCCGACTTTGACACAGGCAGAGTTACAACAACCAATCTCTGCAAATGAACTTGTGAGTACTTGTATTCCATGTTAAGGAATTGTATAAACAAGAGAACCTGCATTTTTCTCTATACATATCTTGAAATTATAGGAAAAATTCTTAAAATGTGTACTGAAAACAATTATCTCTGACTCAAGGAATATCCTACAAAGTAAAAAAAAGTTACAATTTTAGTTCTTTTTGACCCGTTTGCAATGAAATTACAGATCACTTCTCCTTTAGACTGAAAGAAAATCCACATTCATTCTGAAGTCAATGTCCAAGATCACTTACTTCTAAATTAAATACACAGTACCTTATTTAAAAATTAGAATACTAAATGTTGAAATAAGAATTATAGTTTACTTTGTTGTTTTTATGAACAGACTTTACCTAGAAATATTGAGGTTCAAGGCTTTTTCCCAACAACTACAACAAATGAATGGTTTAACAGAACAAGACTACAAGTTCCTACTGACAATAGTGTTCCAGTTACATCAGTGTATGACCAGACCATTCATCAACCAACCCAACTGGTCCAAGGCGTCAGAAGTAACTGTTCCTACAATGGTGCATACTCTCCTGTTATGACACCCACACCTAATGTGACTACACCTGGACTATCAGCTGACTATCCCCAGAGGTTTTCTGCTGGTCATCCTGTAAGTTTTTTCCTATGTTTTGGCTAACTTCTTAATTATGTGTATTTACTAAGTTTAAGTCAATCACATTTTCAACAAAATGAATACATAACATTTTTTTGAATCAGGAATCATGGAGTCTGAACCCACAGAGTGTTCCTACATTTGTTGCCCCAATGGAGGCACAAAGACCAAGACCAAAATGTCAAAGAAAAAGACAACTACAAATATTACATCCAACAGCTCAAGGGCTAAAGGGAGTAAAAATAAAATGTTTGTGAGTTCATTGCAGCAGACCACTGGGAAACAAATGGAAGCAACATTGCACCAGACTCCAAGTCCAAAATCTGCCTCTACTTCTGTAACTCAAAAAGGTGGCAAGGTAATTTATAAGAATGCTAACAAGTTCATTGGAAATGACTAGAATTTATCTGGTTCTTACAAAAATATTGTATGGATTTCTGAATATCCCTGTTTATTTAATAGAATAGAGTCCAGCGCATTGTTGTTCCGCCAAAAATTCAGACAGACCCAGTGGAATATCCTCCATATGTGGCCAGAATTATGAGGATCCTGAACAGGCAAAAACAGGTAGGTTTCATGAGGGCCTGAAATCAATGCAAATACTTAATAATGGTTATATTTAATAAAGATGAATTCAGAATTTTAATTAAACAAGCATGTGATGGATACTTTCAGGGTCAGGTGGAATCCACATATACTAGAGAAAAGAACGACAGTGTTGATTCCACACTAAAACAAATGACAACTGCTGGTAGAAGAAACAACAGAACTGACTCTACTCATCAACAAATTACTGACGCTGATGAAGAAACAATGGACACAGTGGACTCATTCCTCAAACAAAAGGAACCACAAAGTGTTGTATCAAAACCTTCAGTGCCACCAAAGCAGTCTGCACTGGTACAGAAGGTATCTATTTTAGCTAGTATCAGTAATGTTTGAATTCAGAAAGCACGATTTGACAGCGAAAGAGCATAGCATATTTCAGAAAACAAAGAGTAAAATGTATAAAAAAAATTGTCTGATAACACTGTACAGAAGGTCACTGAGAAATGTAGCCAAATGAAATCTGGGTCCAAACAAGAGCCAATGTCTATTAGAAAGGTATTCTAATGGTGCTCACATATTTAGTTGAATATAAAGCTGCTTGCATATATGCAAAACTGTTTTTAATGATTATTGTGTCATCAGATTATAATTTTCACTGGACTTTATCAAACTGAACGAATTATTATATCACTTGCAGACACTCCCAGAGGACTACAGACCTGTGGTTAACACAGCCCTGTTCTTAGATGACTGGTCACCTGACAGTTTTACTCTATTGGAAGCAGACAGTTTCTATGGACCAGAGATTCTTGTCACTTCTGGCTCTCACTGCTTTGTGGCTCCTGTGCCTTTCTTCTGATTTTGGACTTCTGAATATTCGTTGAGAGTTTGGATATTCAGTTTTGGACTTCTGAATATTCCTGGAGAGTTTGGACATTCAGTTTTGGAACACCACCTTAGTGCTATGCAACCACAGTCTTTCAGTGACATTTTTTTTTAAAAAACACATACTTTAGGTCATTATAATATTTATGATATATTTCATGAGTTTTTTTAAATTCTTCCTCATAATCATGTGCCAAATGTTTTTGTTTTGTTTTTGTTGTTGTTTCTTAATATAAAAATATCTGCATGTTATTCAATTGATTATGTTCGCTTTATATTTTTTTCATACAGTGTTTTATATTTGATGATATACATTTAGAGGATATAGGCTGATTCAGTAACTCCATTTTGCAAGGTGCAAATCAAAATGAAACCAGCCTGAAAAAAAGAAAGCACGAGTGAAGTCTCTGAATGATATCTATATACATGATTTCTTCATGAAAGGAATTTTTAAAAATGTTGCTTTAAAGCAAAGAGTAAAGTTTAGTACAATACCTCAAATATACCTGTAAAAGAAACATGCGGAAATCACGAACAGTATTCAAGCTTAAAATCCATTAAACAGTACAAAATTGAAGCAGAACAAACACGGACCTCCAAAACATCAGAGATGGGAGCAGGTGCCATGAAGGAGTGAGTAGAAAAACGTCGGTCAAGGTCATTGTATCGACCATAGAACTTACGAAAGAATGACTCTAGACGAGATATTTATGCTGATATTCTTCTTTCAGCAACTTCTTTGTCAATAACTTACCTCGTTTTAAAAATTGTTCATATGTTAAATATGTTCCTGTGTATTGAATCAACTAATAGGAGATATAAACCCGATTTGCAGGTGATGAAGGTATATTTAAACAATAAAATGCTTTCTTTGTTTGTTATTACTGGTATTAACGGAAGCAGCTGTTGCAGAAAAAATACATAACCCGCGTAAGCGGGTTATGTAAATTTTTTCTGCAATAGCTGCGACCGTTAATTCCAGTAATAACAAACAAAGAAAGACATTTCATTGTTTATATTTATATCTGTTTAAATAATCATTTAAAGTAGGATTAAAAAGATTAATTATTATATTAATGATGCGAACGTCTTTATACGTTACATTGATGGAACAGCCACTGATCAAGAAATCTGAACAGGCGACATGCCTAATGTAGTTCATGCAGTGATTAACGCAATGAGTTTTCTTAAGAAATAAAGGAGAAAATATTCAGTGGATGTAAATATTGCTGAATAAGTAAGGGAGGATGACGTTTGAAATGTTAAAGTCGCGTATGTCATAAAGCTATATGAAATCCCAGTCTGATTCAAATCAGATTCTTTGATCTGCTCACATGAGATCGAGCTACACAAGGATCTGAAAAACACCATTCAGAGTCATCTCCTGGTGACCTTTCAAATAAAATATTCATTAAAATTTTAACTAAAGAGAGGTCGTACTTGAATGTTTTATTGTTTCGTACAAAAACAAAGAGCTAAAATAAAAACATGACAAAAGCAAGTCTTCTTATATTTCTGTATAGAAAAGACTGTGGTCGTTCTCTTGATAGGCTGCCGAAACCATCTGAGGCCTGTTCAACAGAGCGAACGTTCGCGAGCGCTCGCCAAAATTACTATTGCAGGTATAAGGAATTTTGGCGAGCGCTCGTGAGCGTTCGCCCAGCTGAACAGGCCTCAGACTTGTCATAACTTTCCGTTCGTATATCATCGGGGGCTTTCACTTCTGTAACAGAATTTCGAGACTCCTCTAAATTCTCATAAGTGAATGTTTGATTGGATAATTGAAAGTTCACTAGGAGATGACCCTGAATTGGGTTTCTTCGGATCCTTGTCTAGCGATCTATGTGAGCGGATTAAATGATCTGATTTGAATCAGATTGTATGAAAGCCCAAGCACCAACCGTTGAAAATTTATTGTATATGTCTTCTTAAGTGTTTCAAATTCCAAGGTCAAGGCCAAAATAGTGTTCAGGAAAAGACTTGTGATAAATAAATATGCAAAATATAAAAGCCATGGCACCAACTCTTCAAAAGTTATGAAGAATGAAGTATTTCAAAAGTAGGTCAAATGCCAATGTCAAAGGTTTTCGTATCCAGAGGAAGGGTGTGTCACATGAGATTTATCAATGAAATTTGAACGCCCTAATGCTAAATGTTCCAAAGTTATAACAAAGATTAAAGTTTAAACCACTGGGCCAGGAAAGATGAAACTCATGTAGAAGCAGCCTCTTGTAGTGTAGATTCACGTTTGTGCAAATTATGACCCCCGGGGGTAGGATGGGGGCCATAATGGGGTATTAAATTTTAACATAACATAACATAAGAAAAATCTTTAAAAATCTACTTCTCAAGAACAGCAAAGCCGTAACAGCAAAGCCATAATTGGTCATAGTTTTATGGAAGCATACTCTGGTAGTGTAGATTCAAGTTTGTTCAAAGTTTAACATAGGAATAGATAGGAAAAATCTTTAAAAATCTTTTTCTAAAGAAAAGCAAAGGCACGATTGGTCATATCTATATGGAAGCATCCTCTATTAGTGTAGATTTAATTTTTTTCAGATCATGACCCATAGTGCAAGGGTGGGGCTATTTTGGGTGATAAGTAAAAATACATTGGAAAATCGATAAAAAAAAAATTTTCGAGAAAAAAACAACTTTTGTTTTAAGAGAATTCACTTGGATCTTCCAAGTTTGACAGTACAAGTACATTGCATTTAAAGAAGCCTGCAGTTCAGCAGCTGACTCTGCTAAAATAACTGTATCATCAGCATACAACAACAACATATACAAAAGTAAATAGACAGTTATCTCTTCAGTATCTAACAAGTGAGCTGCCTTATTCATATCTACAAGACCATTATAGGCATGTGACATAAATTCAACCAAATCATTAAGAAAAAAATGGCAAGCAAAACAGGTGATAAATTTTCACCTTGACGTACACCAATAAAAAAATTGGAACAAGGACTACCTTGCCTTACACAAGACTGTGCATTACTGTATATATTTTGTATTATTTTTAACATGTTTCCATCTATAGAATGATTCAACATTTTTTGCCATATTAAATAAGCTCTTCGTACAGTGTCAAATGCTTTACGATAGTCAACAATAACACGGTATAATTTTCTACCTCTGTAAATACAAGTCAATTAAACATTTAAGGTTAAATATATAATCTGTTGTGCTGTAACCTTTTCTAAACCCTGCTTGTTCTTCACAGAGCATACCAGAGTTTTATAAATATTTATACAACCTATTATTCAAGATACAAGTGAACAATTTTCCATAACAGCTTAGAATGGTGATACCACTATAATTATCTACGTCATTAGGATCTCCTTTGTTTCTGTATATTGGGCAAATATAACCTTCTGACCGACCGTCAGGCACAATACCAGTCATGAAAACCATATTATTATTTTTTTTTACAAATACAGGCATTAATTTTGCAATTGTATTTTTCAGAAATTCATTCAAAATAAGATCACCACCGCATGCTTGTTTTTCAGTGATTTTATAGTATTCAACACTTCCGTTTCAGTAATAGCTTGGTTCAACTCAATATTGAAATTAGTTACATTTGGAAGCTGATTAACATCATCATCAGAATCATCATCTAAAGCATTCATATTTTTAAAATGATCGTAGAAAACATCAAGAGAAATTTTCTCAACATTTTTACTGGCCTTTCTGTCACATTTATTCAATAATGACCGATCAATGCTTTCGCATCAGTACTACGTAAATTTCTCAGTTTATTAACAAAATTTTTCTGATACTCTCTAAACTGTTAATTTAAAGTTTTTTTTTATAATCTCTACTACTTTGTAATACTGTCTCAACTCTTTTCAGTCTCCAAGGGAGATTTCTACATTTGTGATACTCTTTACGTTTCAAATAACATTCTTTGTTGAAACAGGGTTTACACAGTTTAGATCTTACAGACCTCCGCTCATTGTTATTAGTCACAATAAACATATCTGCTTTTTCAGCTGCATTTTTTATTATAGAATTACAATTAGTGACAACCTGATTTATAAAACCAATATCAATCTGATTCATGTCAACATTCTCAAGATTCATAAGCACTTCATTTATACTCTCTTCACTTAAATTTTCAATAAATACATGTGCATTGCAACTTTTCGCTTGGGTTTTAAAATAACTTGATTTTCTGCAGTATTTTCTTTAAACTTCCAGGAAGATTCATTATCTGTTTTTGTCATAAACACAGTATCAGAGTGCACAATAACAGGACAATGCATATCGCTCAACATAGGATCAAAATAAAAAATTTTGAAAGTAGAAATACTATCAAATAAAGATGGAGATACAATGCCATAATCAATATCAGTATCTTTACTT